AACAACTTTGTTGATTTTTGATGACTTAATTTTGTTTGTTTGCCTATTGTTTAATTGCTTATAACTCTTGTATTCATTTAGAACTCTTACGTAACTTGGTGTTCTCTACTTTGTTTCTGTGTGTATCCTGAGTAAAACTCAATCATCAAACTATTCCTATTATTACATAAGTTCCTTTTAACAATTGTTTGTTAAAACTCATCACATTTGTTACTACCCTAATTTCATTAATACCCGATTTTCTTGACCAATTTTGTATTACGTAACTCCAATTACCAATCTTCACCTGTTTAGTTAAAATAACCATATTCAATTGTATTTTTGTTTGACAAACTTAATGCACACATACATATAAAATAACACATATATATTTGCGATTGTACAGCACAGAGAATGAATTCTCTGTAAAAGAGACTCTTCGCTGAACCACGTGTTTCGTTTCAAAGACTTGTCGCAGGGACAGTCTTGCTAATACGTTGATATTGTTTGTAAAATTTCAACAAGGTGTTTATTTAAACACACTGACTTCTAATACTGAAGCCATTTGATTCATCAGTCTCAAGAATATGACTGAAGCTGTAACGGAATAGTTATTTAGAAAATCCCTCCTGAATGACATCGGCACAATATTAATACTTATATGGATGTTTCAACCAACTTTATCACTTTTTTCTCCTAGACTGTGTATTATTATTTAGACATTTATATATACTATATGTTGACTTCATCCTTATATTATTTGTCTTTGCCCCTATTTGTTCTCTAATTTAAATGCCTCTTTTAGTGGTTTTTTTAACCTAATGATAGTGTGTTGTTTTACGACTATTATTTTGTTTGTATGAAGTCAAGGCCAGAATGACCTTGAACTGTCTGAGAGAATTGTAGGTGTATGATTCTTCTGGGCAGAGATTTTTAAGCCCACCTTGTTTGAAACATTCTACTTGATTCTAAGTTATTATAATTAAGGTTTTCTTGTATTTCCTAATGAACGATATTGTATAAACTGAATTAACGTTCCTCAGTATGGGGACATTTTCGCGTTGTCAAATTGGCCAACTGGTAAAGATAACAAAACCAGGTGTGAATTGTTGGATTTGATAAGTGAGTAAGATTATAAAGACAAAGTGTGTTCTTGGTGGTAAAACAGATGCGGTTCTGCGGTGTTCATTTCTTCTGATTTTGGTTTCTGCCTGGCGATGTTTGCCCGATGTATATCACACCACATTCCAGGTAGGCATTTTTAATTTTATAGACACAATTAGATAGAGAATACTTAGAGACTTGGTCTTTTATATGGATAAGGTTGTTTCACAGTGTGTCTGATGTTTTGAAGAAAACTCTGATGTTGTGCTTATTGAGTACTCTTCTGATATTGTCTGACGCTGAATTTTACTTAACCAGTTTTGTTTTATACGACTTGTTTTTTACTGGAAAGTTCTCTTGCCCTCTCACAGCTGTTCAACGACACTGTTAAGATAATTTTGAATTTTTGAAGTTATTATTGGTTACTAGAACTACATCGACCTTACGATGAATAACCATCATTTTGCTGAGTTTGGCGAATTTTGTGACTGTGCAAAAAAGATTGGTCCTCTGCATCTTGACCACAGCGAGTTTGCTTGGGTTGTTACAGAAGCCGATGATTTTGGTTAATGCTCAAGTGTAAATGAGTAAAATTCGCCAGGACCGTTCAGCAGTGACTTGATAAAATACTGTGAATTATTTGTAGAGCAGTAGGATCAATGCATAGGTAGAAAATTACTTTAGCTGAATTATATTCTAATCGATATCTTAGATAAGATGGCAATTTATTCAGTACACGATAGAAGATGAAAAAAGATTCTTCAGTGGCGGCTTTATAATTAGGTGCTGTAATGTCAAACTGTCGGTAGTTTTTATTACACCTTTTATTTAGGCACGCTGACAAGTGTTCCGGAGCACAGAAACTCAAGTTCTGTTAGCAACAGTCAATGTAACTGGCCCCACAATAATAGTTGAACTGACAGATATGGGAAGAGATGCGTAGCCTAGTTACTTCGTTTTACTTGTATTAAACGCTCTCTGAACTCACTTTTTTTTTAAATTTTTTGGTCGCTACTTTACTTGGTACGTTACCTTTAAATTTCAGTCATATATACAGAAGTTTCTTGTTTGCAGATGCAGGAGATGTTTTCAACTTTAGTGGTCATGTGTTTCCTTATGGTCTTTTCTGAAAAGCTATTCTCAATTAAGGAATCTTAATTTATTCTGTAATGACAGCCTACGAACATTTGCCTCTGAACCTGCAGTTAAGTGTCCCTGTCGAATTTCTTTTATACGGGGGAAAAACGAATTCTTAAAAATGTGTATACTATCTTTTCCATGTCCTTCTGTTATGTAAATTTCTTTCTCTCTTACTATTTCTAATACTTGTGAAGATAATAATGCTATAAATAACAATTATTCTTCAACTATTCTGGATACATAGCAGTGGAATCTGGTGAAGCAATTCCAGAAAAGAATATCCTTTGTTCCCATGTGAATTTTTTACAGTCACTCCAATAGCTGATTTCTAAGAAGTGAACTTAAAATTGTGGAAAAATCGTATAGTGTCTTCCTTAGCCTATCCCAAAAGGTAGTTCTTCCTGCCTGAAAAGGCAATTTTCAGTCAAAAGCGTTAGTCTACAAGTAATAATTCGTGAAGATTTGACTGGTTCCAAGTTTGATCACGAATTGACTTCAGATGGAGAACCGCAAAAAACTAGAGAGTACCGAACGACTGTTTTATCCCTTCCATGACTCTATTTGATAGTTAGTCTAGCATCTTCAGTTCACAGGGACGAAACAACGATCCAGTACTCCGTAGTTTTTAGTGGCCCTCTAACTGATGCCAATCCGTAATCTAACTTGAGACTTAGAATATTCCTGCAAAACGTCGCTTAAAATTTATTCTGTTGCCTAATGGTGATGAGGTACAGGACGAGGGTGCATGGAGTACTAGAAAGAAATCATCAACAGTGGCGTGCACCAAGTGGGGTATAAGGACAAACAATAATTGGCGACACTAGATGGAGGTAATCATATTGTAAAAATTATAATTCACTGACCAAAGGATTCCGTTCCAGTGGGTGAACGCTCAAGCAGCTTACCTTGTGATTTGAAGTTCCTGGACTCAGTCTCTTACAGAACAAAACAACTACTCAGTTCTTTTCAGTTTTTAATGGTTCTCTCACTGAAGTCAGGCGGGATCAGACTTGAAAGGTGTCAGCTGCAGTTGCGTTTGTACTTCAGTAATAGGAATAAATATAAGGATGTCTCTGATGTGACGTTTTGGAGTATTTATTATCTAGTGGGAAAAATTTACTGGGGTAGTTAATTCATTTAGTCAACAAACTCAGAATATTGATAACTTTGATAAACTGATCTTCATGAGCAATACAAGTAGTAGGGCGATTATATGTGTTGAAGAGGGAATAGATGTAAGGTTTTCTGAACATTTTAGACTGTGTAAGGTATGCTCACCGTTGGTAGTTGATTTCTTCAGCATCATCCTATGAGATTTAAATCATAATGAGAACTAAATGAATGGTTAGTGCTAGGATATTGGACATTCGATTCCCATTCATTCATTTATTCAGTGGTACTATATTCGCTTAAAGCTGCTAAGAGGTGATATTGCCTCTACCACAAAATGAGTTATTGTTTCTTCCTCGATTTTTGACCTAATATGGTCTTATTCAGCCTTATGAAGAATTTCAGAAATAAAACTTAGACTGAAATGTTGAAAAGGGAAGGTGTTAAGTGGTGGATGATGAAACAATTTCCAGTAGTATGCAAGCTGTCGGCTGCGAATTCCGATAGCAGAGGCTTATGTCTCCTGTGGAGTAATATGCAACCATTCATTTCATTCTTTCTTGTAGAAGAAAATATCTATTTACTAAGGCATAAGTTTTGAACGATTTTGATCGGTACTAGCTCATAATGATTTCGGTTGTTTAAACCAATCAATTGTCTATTAAATTATTGAATGAATAACACTCTTTTCTTCTCAATTAGTAATTCGATTCAGTATTTAGCTCCTGTAAGGGCCGACTAAGAAATTCTCCCTATTTGATTGAAAGAAGTTATTGGTGAAGTTCATTTCATTCCTTCGTTTCTGTGTGGAACATAAGGCTTCAAGCTTTGGAGTTTTAGTAGAAGTATTGATTTTATGGGAGGTAGGGAACGGGTTCAATAGCCTAACACTCTACTTTCTCTCTTTTATGGAGCTTACTACATACCCATCGAGGCTCATAGATGTATCGACCAGGGATTGAACACCAGGTCACATTCGTAGTAGGTAAGTATTTTACCATCTGAGATTGTCACTGGTAGGGTCTACCACGTTGAGATGAAGCAAATGTTCACTGGTGATATCAGTTGGCGATTTCCTTAACACCAGCGCACTAGCTAGTTTTTTTTTGGGATTATAGCTTGATTTCTCACCGTATTTTTGGTGCAAGCATGGAATTTCCAGCATGCGATCTTGGTAGCCCAAATTTTGCAGGTCAACCAATGATATCGGGTGTGCGTCGGCAGGGGATCGAACTGCAGACCGCTGTGCCACTAACACCCCCACCTCGCTTGGGTTTGATCCATCTTAGCGTCATGTCTGGCTATTGCTGAAGAGTCCAAAAGCAGGACAAAACTGATGTCCAGTGCTCGCTGCTGTTAAATGATTCTCACATCAGTAGTGGTTCTTTACGAAGTCTACATCAGAATTTCATTGCTTAAGATGCTCTGTTCTGTTTTTCTAGGATAATCTATTTGTTTCTTTCAGATTTCTCTTAATTAAGCTTAATATGTTTTGATGGAAAAGGATTCTTTATATAGCTTCCTTGAATCTTATCTGAATTCTCGCAAACCTCTTAGTTTCTGCACTGGATCATGTTAACTACTACTTTGAGAGAAACAGTCTATATGAAGACCGATCTCCAGTTTCAGTGGGTTTTAGCAACAAACAAAAATAGAAAAGAACAAGCTGAAAACAAGCCTTTTTATTATTCGTAATGTTATGAATAGTATAAGCATATTAATGCATCATTACTGCTAGGTAACAGAAATAATAAACCGTAAAATTAGTTATTGTCATTATTATAATCATTACTTTTCTTACTGTTTAATAATTACAATGAAACTATTCATTATTCACGATTAAATAAAATCAGAAATACCAGTGAATAACATGACTAGTTATCACATTCCATTAGAGACAAAATTCAGAGTGTTTTGATAAATGTCTATTGGTCTTGTTTTTGAAAATATTTGAATAATAATTTGTTTATACTAATAACAATACTACTTATAAAAAGTGGGTTATACTTTCCATAATTTCAGTACTCTATAAATGGCATTTTCAGTTTTTTGTTGATGGCAAAGACGATAATGATAGTAACCAATGATTATAATGACGATGATGATGGCAGTTATGATGACAGTGATGAATTTTAGTTGGGTTGGGGTTGTGCGCTGGGAAAATGGAAGCGCCTTGAATGAATGACAGAAATTGATCACGCGCGGGTCATCTTTTCCTTTTGTTCATCTCTCAAGGTGAACAATGACTCATACATTCTGATTTTGTAACAAACCGGTTATCATTTCCACCACATTCATGAAAATAAAATGACATACAATCATTACTTTCTAAATCATAGAAAAAGTTCTGTGATGGATTTTTAATTTGACACGATCCTGGATCAGGTTGTTGACGACATTCAGATGGGACATTTTCAAATTCGATATCTGTAAATCAATGAAAAAGTTTAGATTTATTAAGCCGGTTCCAGGTATATATGTATATATTTGAATTGTAGGGAGTTGTCAACACAGAAGTTTGTAACAAAGTTTAGCAGTTCTAGTAACTACACTTTATGAAGGCATACAAAGGTAGAAACAGAGGAAAATAATCCGTAAACATATAAGAGTAAAGAACCGATACTCCTCGAAACTTGGATGTAATGAAGAAACGAAAAAATTGTCTATCTGGAATTCAAGGGAAATATAGTTGATGAAGCTCTCTGAAGATGTCCGTTGAGGGCTATTCAGAGAACGTTATATTCGCTGTATCACTACTCCTGACCTTCTCCGCACATGCTCCTATTCATCCAAACGTCAAAGACAAAACCTATTGTTGGCACTTTCACTGCGCATTTACAAGTTAGTTCACCTGCTACCTTAGAGCTAAGTAAACAGGATGTATAAGATGGTTGGAGGCAATCAACAGGATGCCTTGAACCGAGGCTTCGTGCTAGTTGGCACTCATCAGCAAGGCGTATCTGCAACCTTGAAGGAACTCACGTCCCTTCTGAGATTCGAACCCGCGTCCCCATTACTGCAGTCAGAGACGTTACCACTGAGCTATTCAGGCTCGCGACTGACCTCCTGTAGGACTGTAGGGGATATTTTTGATTGCACACTAGTCAGTGACTAGTGTAATATATCTAGTGCTTTTGTTTCCTGCAGACTGAATTCTATCAGTCACTTTTGCAATGTGGCCACCATGCTAGGTGGCTCGCCAACACAGTGCACTGTGAACTGTTGGCATAAGATGGTTGGAGACAATAGACAGGAAGCCTTGAACCTAAATTTCGTGATAGATGGCACTCATCAGTTGCCACATTACAAAATTGACTGATAGAATTTAGTCTACAGTGAAGATAGGACTAGACACATTACAATAGTTACTGACTAGTGTGCAATCAAAAATAAACAGGATGTACCAGTAGGACATTATCTAGACGTGATCGCGAACGCTCAGCAGTATGGTTGTCAAAAGGAAAAGGTGAAACAGTCAATAGCTCAATTCTGGAGCATATTATTATTAATTCTGGTGATGCTGTATCAGAAGAGACTTCTTTTGAAGTCACATATAAATTACTACCAAGTCATTCGGAAGGATTTCACCTGTATCTTCTTCATGCAGTCGAAACCTTAGCAATACATAAGGAAAAACCTGAAATTTGTGTTCAAAAACATTTGATCCAATCTTTAATACCATGGCCTTAGTATTAACTTTTTTTTCTAATTTCTTTTCTTCCTGCTTCATTTTCTTGCGTAACTGTTAAATAAGCTCTATGTAGCACATTCTGTTTGTTTTTTGTAACCTATTTGTACTCTCATGTTCTTTTGTTTCCTACCACTAATGTTCAAACGATTATTCATCACTCAACTAATTCGTTGTTAACCTTCTTGATTACATAAGACTATTTTTAATTTTCAAACATAGTTATTACTTATGCTCCTTTATTTGCCTTGTTACTAAATGGCAATAATTTTTCACCTTTGACGTGAACCTACACTGCATATATATACATATATATTCCCCTAAATGACTGTACATCTTTGAAGCGAAGTCACGAAGAGTGATCTCTTTATTGCCTTATGTGTTCTTAAAAAGGAACTGAAATAAACGCAAAGATGATGGTAGGGGGTGGGGTGAGATAAAAAATAATCAAGTGGAGAATGGGGAAAAATTTAATGGATTTAGGGGTTCACAAAGAATGAATATTTCTGTTCCACAGAAAACAGTTTTGAGGCATCATACCGTCAATCCGGAGAATGACAGTTTACACCTCCCTAATAGTCAGTGATTGCATAGATTGAAGTTGAGTATCGGGTTAGTCGCGTTTTACCCTTTCCCAACCCAACTGCATGTCAGATTAACATTGTTTGATAAGGAAGGCGGTTGTTCAGCATGCATAACGCATGTCCTAGCCAGCTTAACCTATGCAGCTTCACAAACTTATCGACAGATCCCCCTTAACTAATGCTCTCTCTGTCTCCCTATATATATATATATATATATATAAACGTAATATCATGAACATTTATAAGATAGCTTTCAACGCCAAACATAGCATATCCTAGTGCTACAATATGCGGACCGATGAATCCTTTGCCAATCTGATCAAAAAATCCAGACATGCATAAATCAATTTAAAGCCAAACTGGTTACTATTGTCATCCAATTTAGGCAAATGAGTTATCTGACTATAATTCGCCTTTTTTCACAGGTTGGATTCTCTACCTGTGATTATAATCTTCTATTGATAAATAGGAAAGAGATCACTTGCTTCACTTATAGAGGCATCATCGTTCCAACTGTAGGAGACGGTGCTGATTGATTAGGATGTAAAAACCAGCATCTGAAAGTCAAGGCTGAAATTCATCATTCTGAAGGCAGTTTAGAAACCTGCAGTACTCCAGCATAAACAACGATGTTTCAATTTTCAACATGAATGGTAAGTTAGTCATTTCTTCTGTATAGGTCAGAACCTTGGCGTCTGCGTTACAAAATGCATTTCTAACATCCTGCTGCTTAATTTTATCGATAGGTGTGATTGCTGGCTCCATGCTGAGGGAGAATATTATAAACAAGAAACTCTTTGAATGAACCAATCAAGAACATAGTTACCAACAGATATTCTTCAGAAAATGAAGATAGATCAGAGGATACCATCGAGTGAAGTCAAGCCAGGCCACCGCTCGAGTGGAATCCGAATGGAAAATGACAAATTTGGCGTCCAAAGGTGCTATGGAGGAGATTGTGTGAGGAGGAGATGACAGCCTATGGGTAGTAGTGGAGCTTGGTTAAAGAGAACGTGAGAAAACAGGAAGAATGGAGATGTCCTAGTGAAGAACTATGTTCCAGCTGGAACCCAAGGGAATAATAATAAGTAAAATATTATGATCAATATTACTTAGGGATAAACATGAAAATAAGCTGTAAGCTTTGCATGCTCACTCACCATACTTCAAATTTAACAAAAGTCACATAGAAACGAAAAAGCATGCATAAGATCCCATCAAACTGAAACTGTATTTAGTGCTTACTTATGAGTAGAGTGAAATTTTGCCCACTGACTTAGAAAGGTATCAGTGATAATCTTATTTCACCTAGCCACAAAAACATCAAGTAAGTTGTTGGACGCCTTGTGATGCATTCACAACAAGCATACTCGAATAAAAGATACTTAACGCCAGTCAATCGGGTGGATTGTTAATGTTTCTGTCTGTTGACTTCTACTTAGTCATTTATAAAATTAAAACTCCCTCTCGTAAACACAAACAATATTTGCTAAATTACTTTTAATAATGAAAACAACAAATGATCATTGACATTCAAGTGTTCAATGGTTTTCACAAACAAATAAGTTATCCTTTTTTTTAACAGAATAAAACACATTAACATTATAAGTATAACTGATATATGTAAATTTTAGGAAGAATATTATCAGCCTACCTGGTGCCATTCTTGTATTACGTTTAGTTACGCATACTGGTTGATCCGGTGGGCATTCAGCTTCCCATGATTTAGAATGCTGTTGTTTATACAGCTTGCATGAATCATCTCCAACAAGGATACAGGATGTTATTGATTTTGGACATTTAGCAACCTTAGCAACAACAACAACAAATAAACATGGAAAAAAGCGGAAATGGGGAAATTATTTTTTAGGGATAGGAGAAAATGATAAAAAATACTAATAAATAATGGAATTCTGCCAAGTTGTTTGTACTATTACCTTACAGTAGAAAATTGAGGGTTTTAGGATATCAGATGATGTTTACCTATTTTTCTCTGAAGCATTTTATGTTATAATTTGGATACGCTTGCAAGCGGACTGCCTATGAGCGTCAAACTAAAACTAGCCGGTGGTCGGGCTGAAATCATGAATCGGTAGAAGTTGGGATTTATACACCAGTGAATTGGGTCCAAGTGTCTGAATGGTCTATAAGCTCATCTTGTAACCAGAAGGTCCTGTGTTCGAACTGCAGTGGGTGCGTGCCATTGAAAAGTTCCAAACAAGAACGAAACAGCTATTCAGTACTCCTAAGCCTTCCACTGATTCCCTAACTGACTTCAGTTCGTGGGCAGACTGGAAATACATCAGATCTCTACAAACTAGCTTTTGGAGGTGTTTGTGAATTTTTGTGGATGTAAGCATACTTGCTTTAAATATTGTAATTTTTAATAATTATGGGACGCTTAAGCACCTTTTGTTATACTAGAACAAAGAGGTATGGTAAAATATGAGGTTAAAAACCAGCTCTGAACTTAAAGCAGTTGACAGTTGACCATGGAGTGCCACGTCTCCAGAAATTCTGTAACATTTAACGACACTAATCTAGAATAATCAGTACTTTGTAGAATAAAAATGTTAAATATATCTTTTCACTGTATGTCAACTGTTCATCAATGAAATGACCGGCAGTCAGTCACATGGTTCAGGTTCGATTCTCGGCTGACACATTGCCAGACCTCGCCTAGTTTACCAACCAGCGGTAAACCTGAAAAGGAGGGGAAGTTGGGTGTGAAGCTATCAACCACCACTTTACTATTCAAGCATGAAGCACTTTATTCTTCTTGAAACTCAAAGGAATGAAAGAATTGTAAGAGACCTTCAGTTATATTCCTTTTATCTTGAAATATATTCCGGTTTCGGTTGGCATAAACGAGCTACTTTTCTGTATGTCCTATGCGGATTCTCAGGATCCACAGTGGTGATTCACTGGTGTTTATGCACGATCGACTTTAGTCATAAAGTGGTAGACTCAGATAATTATCTAAGGGTAGAAGGATAACCTTTCATTATAAATGACCATGTGATTCAGTTGAGTGATGTCTTCCTCAGCATCTTATCTTATTGCAGAACAGGCGAAAGATTTTTATTATTTCTTTGGGTTTCGTGCGGAACATAAGGCTTCAACAGCAAATCTCACAGAAAGTTTCACCCTGTCCTCTGCAGTCCTTTTCAGCCGGTTCCACGATTAGTCAAATTTCTTACTTTGCATGATTTCCTCCACGCCACACTCGGACATGCGCGCAATTCATTGTTCCCCACTTAGGTTCCACTCAGACGAGTGTCTGGCTCGCGACGTCACCCAGTGTTTTCACCAGCGTATATCCCACAGATCTACGTTTTCTTAGACGTACTTGCTGGACACTCGATTCCTGATTGGTTCATTACAAGAGTTTCTCGTTTCTAATTCTTTTTGGTTGTCGGTCTGATCTGTAGTATGAAGCCAGTGATGGCAGCTGTTGATAAAAGTGTGCAGTAGCCTGTTGGAAATAATTTACATGATGCATCATACGGAAGAACTAACGTACTATCGATTTTGAAAATCTGAAATTTGTTGCTAATGCTGAGTGAGGCAGATTTTTTTCAAACTGCTTTCAGAGTGATAACTGTCTCTCTGTGTTTTCCTTCGTGGTTTTTACATACGTATCGGAACCGTCGCCTGTTGTTGATAAAATGCTGCTTATATTAGTGAATTAATTGATCTCTATATTCTTAGTGTCGATAGTTACAGTTTGGACAGAAAATGGTAGGGTATTATTTGTGATGTGACTGAAAATCGTTCTGAAAGGCGCAAACGTATTCAGTTTTTATGAACTCACATATCGATTAAATCCTAGTGTTTTCTCATGTTACTATTCTTTCTTTTCTATGTTCCCATTCACTGTAGCTCCGACGAATGTCACTCTCTACACTTATGCGTGCTTTCTAACGTGTAGTATCTATGCTCTACGTTAAAATCTCAGTTTATCAGTCAGTTATATGTAACCTACTAGCTTGTAAGTATTTTACCTCAGCGAGATAAGACTTAAACCGTCTTGTTGTTCTGTAGACCATGTTGCCATGCATCTATTCAATAAAAATTCAATAAAGAACCTCAGAGTAACATGAAAACCTTTTATTACCACTCGTGAGCACCATAGTTTTGTGTTCTGATCTGCATTTAGTTATTATGAAACTCACATCACAGACAGAATGAAACGTCCGCAAAATGTGGGGTTAATGTGATTTGTATTTCACTTCATTTTAGAAAATTAAGTATGATACAATTTGTTATTCGTCAACAAAACTTATGCATAAATTATCCAACCGGGTCATTAATTACACAAAATTTATAAACTTGGTAATAAGTCAAGAAAACATCGATTGCATATAGTTTGTTATCTACCTCTTGCATGATAGAGTTGTAAGAGGGTAATTGTTTGGAAAATCCCCACTGAACTATCTAATTACAGTATTTGTATTTACGCGGATGTGTAACGGTAGACGACAAGAGACTTGGTAACGGAATGTTTATTGTTTAAATTATGTACACCTTATCTGAAAGCCATCATTTACACCGATCTTCCGTGTTGTGCTACCTAAACCATTCGTATTGTGTTTCTTTGTCTTCGTTTCGTGTCTCCCATGTTTTGCTGAAACACTGGTTCATTTACTCCCCTTGATATCAAGTCTATCACTCTTGTATTTGGTATTTTTGTGTGACGATGAATACCTCTTTATGTACTACTGATAAATCTTGTCAGTAGCATGCGCCACAAATGTTTCAATTAACTTTGTAATTGTTATCTGTTTTCCTTCCCTAAATTATGTATCATTTTGCAGAGATTCGAATGTCATAGGCTGACTTGATCATTATTATTTTTCTTTGTCACTGTATATTCTGTGATTTTAATTCTAATGTTTGTGATTGTGCGATACACTGACAGTGTGTTATAATATGGTGTCATTTTGTTTGAGTGAGTCGAGGTCATTGTGGCCTTGGACTGTCTTCTAGGATTAATGCTGTATTATTCTTGAGAACAGAATTTTGATCCCACGTTGTTGGGAGTATTCTGCTTGATTCTAATCACTTATTTTGTACTAAGAATTTACCTAACCTAAATAGTTGCTTAACAGCGCCGTTAAGAACCATAAATTGAAAGGCGAATAAGTGTCTTTGTACTGTCTTTGGAGCGCTTTCTGGGTGTGTGTTACTCAAGAAAGTTAAGATCATCTATATGGTGGGATGTAAAGATCTGTTTCTTGCGTTCACATTGCAACAAGTCGGTTCTGTTTGTTACAATAGTCATTGCAAGACAGATAGATAATGAGCTCTATTTTATAGTCATGTCAGATCAGGTTAGTAGTTTGAAAATTTATTGAATTTCAGATAACTCATTCTCAAAAGAAATCAATAAATTCCAATGCTAGTTATGTGCTTTTAAAGTTTTGTTTCATTATTGAAGGAGTGAAGCCATTGCTTCTAAGCTAAGGAGTCATTTGGAAAACTGAAGAGTTCACAACTTTTCAAGGACTAGTGAGTAGTTGTTATTTTTGCATAGATTCATTTCAGTATAACTTAACCTGGACATTTGATACGATCAAGGCTAACACTGTGAATTCTCTAAACGAGTAACGAATTAGTTACAGGATTTCATTATGAGATGACATTCGTTAGAGAACCATTGGAGAACCTGAGAGTACTGGACAGCTGTTTCGTTCTAGTTTGAGACTCTTCATCAGTATGCACCCACCGACAGGGTTCGAAGCCAGGACCTTCTGGTTACAAGACGAGTTATTCCGTAGACCATTAAGCCACTGGGACCCGATTCAATGGCCCGTGAATTCCAACTTCTGCCGATTCACAATATAGCGCAACGCTAGCATATGTTTTCAGCGAGTATTTTTCCCCACACTCGACCTACTGCACGCACTGGAACCCCAGGTAGCTACCTACCTGAATAAGGCCCTGGCCCCACCTGGCCCTATTCGGGTCTCAGTGGATTAATGGTCTGCGAGGTCGCCTTGTAACCAGAAGGTCCTGGGTTTGAACCTCGGTGGGTGCATACTGATGAAGAGTCTCAAACTAGATTGAAACAGCCGTCCAGTACTCTCAGGTTTTCCAATGGTTCTTTAACGAATGTCAGTTCGTGATGAAATCCTATAGTCAATCAATCGAATCCCTACAAACCAATACTTGAATAACGAATTAATCAGACGTTCTTTTCAACTTCAAAAATGGCAAACCAAACTATAGAAGATTAATCTGATGCTCCCTAGTGACTTGCTGCAGAATGGAGTTTCCTGGAGTTCTAGTGAGAAGTCATGACCAGTAAGGTCCAGTTAGATGTCACGTGTGTGGATGGATGTCCTACCAAAGACAATAGTTTTGGTCACGCTAAATGACGAATTGGTAGAAGTTAGAATTCATGAGCCCTTGAATCGGGCCTCATTGGCTAAATGGTACACGAGCTTGCCTTGTAACCGGAAGGTCCTGGGTTTGAATTTCAGTTGGTGAGTAATGCCGATGATTCACAAACTAGGGTGAAACAGCTGTCTAGTAATTCCTGTTTTGCAATGGTTCTCTAACTGATATCAATCGGTGATCAACTCATAAAGATATTTCTCATTTTCTGTTCACCCTTAATCCAATTCATCGGTTCAATAATTAGTTAACTGATTTCTATGGGTTCTTTCCACAGAAAGCAAGTATAATCCTCAAACATATGGAAAATTTATCAGAAAGAGGTTTTCAATCCTTTCTGATCGCTACTACTTCCCTAAATAATTTACTAGAAGAAAATATAATTTTGTAGAACATCGGTTAATTTGATTTTTATTAAGTCATAATTATGTTGAGGAACTATGTGAACAAACCGACCGGCAACCTAGAGAGCAGCGAATATACCGCAGGAAATGGAGATGGATGGGACAAACACTGAGAAGACTACTGAGTGATATCACGCTTCAGGCCCAGGAGTGGGACCTGAATGGGAAGTGATGAGATGGGTGTCCTAATGTGAGATAATGAAGATCGTGCAGGAAGGAGATTAAGTCTTGCGGATGATCGCGGAGCTAGCTAAAACGGGCTGGAGAGAACATGATTAAAAGGCCGATTTGCTACTGAAGCTCTATGTTCTGATCTGAAATGAAGGGAATAATAATTATCATCTGGTATGTACATGATGCATGAAACTGCAAGGAATAAGAATGTAATAGTTGCACCAGAAGTATTTTCAATATAAAAATGTGTAGTCTCAGATATAGAAGTCGGACTAACACATCCGAACAATCTCCATATACTTTGGTCTACTGTTGCCTTCTATTTGTAAATAATCGGATAAATTGCATACGTGTGAGAAGTGTTCAATATTCCCTGAAGTCTTTTTCAAGCTCCGTCAACGTTATGTGGACGAAATCTCATTATCGCAGCGCTGGTTTGATTAAAGTGATTCACTGTACAGTGCATGACACTGTGAAGATACATCTGAGAATAGACCACTGCTTGTAGAAATGAATTAAAGTTTCGGAGAATTTGGTTGACTGACTCAAATGTATTAAGTGAAAGAATACTCATTTTATACATACCTCACACAAATTTTGGTTGTTTTTAACACACAGTTCTTCACAAGCTGCTCGACTGTAAAATCTATTCGCATTTCCACCATAACCACGGTAACCAAACCAGCGACATCGACCATCTCTTGAATCATAGTACCAGGAGGATAATTCATTGGAACCAACACCTCGGTCTAATGGTTGGCTACAAGCAATATGTGATGGTTGTCCAAGTGAAGCTATATCTCTGACTGCCCAACGAATTGGAGAATGGTAGACAGGTCGTGCTGGTTCTTTAGTTTGCTGGTCTTCTGTAAGTACACCTTGTTTGAATTGAACCTCATTTTCAGCTGTCTGACTGTATTCTTTGTTTTGAGGCCATGCAAAACGATTCACTGAGTTGACACCATCATTTGGCTGATCCATATAATATGAAGGATCCATGTCTGATGATATCACGACTGCAAAAGTAATAAATAATCGATTAGTTATGCAATACCAGTTACTCGTCACTAGTAAATGAATAAAGTTTAGGATTTGAGATGGGTCATTCAAGCATCTTCAGAATATAAATAAGGGGTTAAGCACAAATTAGAGAAACAAACATGATCCACTTAGCCCTACAATCTTTGACCATTCACCTACACAAGCCAAAATCATTGCAAATAGCAAAATAGCTTCTTGAACCAAACTTTATATTTATGAGGACAAAATGTATTCATTTCTTTTTGTTATCAATTTATTCATCATAAATAGCTGTAGTAGAATGGATTATGCATTAAACAGTGAAAAACGAGAGGACAGGGATATCCTGAACCAACGTGAAGAACCTAGAAGACCTGGATTTCGCGCGTGGATGATATGTGTTTGATGTCACACAAAATTGAAGACTTACAAGCAAAAATCGACAAACTGGTCGAAGAAGCAACCGGCGAAGAAAGGACTCCAGGTGAACATAGACAAGACGGAGGTAATCAAAATAACCAACCAACCAACAACAACGGCAACATCCAGCGTCAATCACCATCAACGGGAGGGATTTGAAAGAGGTTACTTCATTCACTTATCTAGCGTTGAGCATTGTCTCAACTACAGGAGGAACGGACGAGGATGTCAAATCGAGAGAGAATCGGGAAGGCGAGTGAGAAACACATTCATCATCCCGAAACCAATCTGAAAATCTTCGTCACTCAGCATCAACAACACAATTCGGTCGGATTTTCAATACAAACACGTCAAGTCAGTCAGTTCTTCTATACGGATCAGAAACTTGGCGCCTGGCGGGTCACAAAGAATATTCCCAACAGCCTGTTGCAGGCTTTTATCAACCAACAACTGTCTTCGCTGGATCTGTACTGAAGATCAAATGGCCGGGCCGGGCCGGAAAGAATCACCAACAAGAAACTATGGGAACAAACAAACAAAACAAGAACCAATCGCCAGCCAACAAATATACAGGAGGAAGTGGAGATGGATGGATTGGGCACTCGCTGAGGAGGCCGCTGGGCGACATCGTGCCCGCGTCAGGCCATTGCTCGAGTGGAACCAGGCTGAAAGGGAAGCTGCTAGTGAGGCGTCAGTGCAAGGGTGAGTGACATGGAGGAGATCGTGTGAAGAGGAGTTGAAACAGTATGGACATGGATGTAAAATGGATGCAGGTGACAAGTACAGTAGAAGACAGAAGCGATTGGAGACGTGCAGTTGAAGCCCTATGTTCCACTAGGAACCCAAGGGAACAATAATAATAATAGAAATAAGTAGCTGTCAGATCAACTTCAACAATATAGGAAAGTTTGCGGAATTTATCTACATCATGTGATGCGCAATTTTCAGCAGAGATGACATTGTGTAACTTTAAGCGGAGCAGAAGGAACGGCTGTAGTGCCACCAAAAAGAAACCAAGCCATAAAATAGTGCCCATCATTTGTAGCTCAGGTGAATGCGTTCTAGTGTTGTCGTCTTCACTGATATCTGAGAACATAGTAACGTCGAAAGTGGTTTCAAAATGAATTTGATTATATTGGGTCATGGGGTGACACTTTCTAGGTCATTTTATTCTACGTGATATATAAATCGGACAATTAACCTTTATATCGATGAAAGAAAAAGACAGTAGGTTTATGGGTAAACTTAAAGAACAGTGACCACAGAGTGCCGACGTACCAGTGACCTTGTTTGCATACCAATAGTTGAATTATAAAAACTGCCGTTATTACACCACCAGTATGAAATCTGTGTGCAGCTGGTTTGCAAATTCATGCCTACCTAACCATCACCTTTCTCGACGAACAATGTTAGCTGATATAGGATCAGGTTGGAAAAGAGCCAATGGTGACCAAACCAAAACGTGGCATCATTCAGTGAAATCCGCAACAGTTAGTTAGTTGAAGCCGCGTCTACAGGTGTAGAGTGGCTGACTGGTTCAAGTTCTCTGGATGGTAAAAACCAATTTCAGGAGACAATCGGTGATGTGGCTCTTTAAATCCTTATTGCCAATGGATGGCGCAGAAGCATTCACTCTTTGTGATTTATAATATACAATAGAATTCTATTGTTCTCACATATTACTATTCTTTTTGTTTCACATTTCTGTTAATTATCTCTCTTCTGTTGCTTTGTGTGCTACATGGAATGTGACAAATAGAATAGCGGCACATATGTGCAAAGCTCTACGTTGAATTCAGTCAGACAGTCAGTTTTATGATTGGAAATTGATAGTCTTCACTGTAATTAAGAAGTGTTGTTCAGTTATATCAGGTGAAAGTGTCTTCCTTAATGTATTTCATTATTATGTTGATTTTTCTGATGAGTCAACGGCTTTTTGGTATAAAACACGCAGCAGGTTTTGTGATTCGTTGCGTGGTATGCGTTCAAGGTCACTACTGCATAAGCACTCCTTAAGCTTATCCATTTTTATTGGTATATATAATAACTAGCTGGAATATGTACCTTATATCTCCTTTACAATATTCTGACAGTCGTATATTACTGTGAATTGAAGTGACAGTAATAAAAAACCCATAAATTTAATATTATCTACCCCAATTCTAACAGATTATTTTTTTCGTCGACTTTGTACTGATGCTTACCGTTGCTAGTTAAAAAGGGAGAAACTGGAAAACAGCTTGTATGTGACATGCCATTTATATGCAGTTTTAAGTAAGATATCTTTATCAGCCACTAAAAATGATAAATACAATGATCGATAATACTATCTAGCAGATTTTGACAACTATCCATTTATTTAGAAATTTGTAGATAGTAAGTGAACTAGAGAGTAAAACGTTTACTCCATTTTAAAAGTGCTTTTTCAATGTGAGCACATAATCTGGAATTGTTTGTAAGTTCATTTGAAAATTGTCTTTAGCAGAAGCAATTTACTTGCTCTTGTAGAGCTGAGTACATTGGCAATACTCTGCGCCGACTTGAAAAACGCGCTCATGAAAAAAGTAAATGGAGACCAAAAGCATGTATACAGTTCAATGACAGAACATCTGGTCAATTCAGGACACTCAGTGTCTTTCGAAAAATCCTTCAAAGTAATATACAAGATTCGATAAAACCTATCAAAGGGAGTGAAATCAAGACATCTGGGTATAGCTGAGGAGCTAGCTATCCAAAAGCTCAAACTCACGCTTTGTATCCAAAAGAAATACGTCCAACCACTGTCCCTGCCATGGGCATCATAAACAGGTAATTTTTTAGTTATGACCATCCCATCGCCTTTCTTATCTAAACTTCCTGTTTATTCATGTTATTTTAAGTTTTTCTTAATCCCTCCCTGTTTACACTACCATATCTTCATACCCGAACTTCGTGTTTATTTTGTCATCTTACTACTTCTACACATTTAATCCCTGATTGCATAAACAATTATTCGTCACATTAGTTTTTTTTATCCAAACATCCTGTCTATTTTGTTATTTCTACATTTCTAACCCCTAATTGCACAATGTCAACCTTCTTAGCTATTGTGATGTTACTTTGTTTGAGTTTTATCAGTCCCTCTGTTTATTATGGCATCCTAATTCCTAATTGTAATTTTTATTAATTTGACCCTTAACGGGAAATTATTCTGGAACTTTCCAACCGATTTGATATAAGTAAACTAATGTACAGCCTAGATGATGACTTCATCGAAAAGAAAATTTTATTTGCTGCAATTGTCTTTTTCGCAGAAAACTCAAACATATTAGGTCATTTAGTTGTAACTCAGTGGTGAGAGTATTGTGTATTCAGTAGTTCAAAAGACAACTTGTTGATGATTACATGGAAATTTCCCCATGATTTTATCCTTGTCTATTAATAGTGGTCCTCTAGGAACGGAGAATTATAATAAGCGTCACCAGGAAAGACTGGTATTCGACGCCCAACTTGAGTTGAAGTTAGCGCCTAAGAGTTTGCCTGAAACGACGGTGGAAGCTGAGTAATTAAATTAGCCATCTCACATAACCTGAACTACACAGTTTGTCTACTTTATAGTTAATTGGGTGAAGAAAAAAGTAGAATGTTTTCACATCTTTCTTACCTTGGTATTTCCTCATTTCCTCTGGCAAATCGTAATAGCTGTCATACGGATAAGTTGAATGAAATTGTGGTAAACTTGTCCCCGTTTCTACAGCCTCTTTTCGACTTCCTCCTCCAAATGAATGTGTTTCTTCTCTCCTATCCTCTTGTTCATACGATAAAGAGTCAGTTGAAGTACTTTCGCCATCAGTGGTAGTGGTAGTAGTACTAGTAGCATCCTTGTCCAACTTCGATGCAGCTGATGGAACGAATGGCGTTGAAAAAGACCACTGTGTTGAATTTTCTTTATTAGCATCTGAATATAATGCATCTGCGGGTATGAGATGGGCCCCAGTTATAAAATTAGGCATGACATAATTAGATGTTGAATCTTGTGGAATATGATGAACAGCTGTGAAGCCGACTCCATTATTATTATTAGTAGTAGTATAAACAGTCTCGTGGCTATTGTTCATTTCTTTGGTACTCTGAACAGGTGACTGAAAGCCTGCAGTAGCTGTCAATACAGATGGTTGACTTCTTGTGTATACTCTCTTCACGATTTGTTTACCTTCTAAAATAGCTGGAGAAGAAATAAAGGCAGAAAATGTCATATAATGATTGGAAATTTAAAGGAGAGGCATATTTCATTCGTCAAAAATACATCAGGTGGAAATTCAGGTGAATTAGTTTTATCGAAATATTTTATGATTGATGTAATCACATTTATAAATTTTCGACTCAAATTTGCGGTGTTCTGTAAAAACGTTTTACTCTTCATATTTGTCTCTGTTTTCAAGGTATATCTGGGTGGTATTTCCGATACTGTTTAGCCGAAAAAGCGGTTCATTAACTTGCTGAATGCCTCTTCTATCTAGAAAGAATTTTAGTTTTAAAAACTCTTAAATTAAGCTTGGAGCTTACGGGAACTATGGAGATATTTAAAGATTAAGCTGAAGTAAGTCGTAGAACTGTTATGATTATTTTCTTTGCTTCCGCTTACCCAAGGGACTTTGTAGTCTGAATTGTTATGTGTGGTGTAATTCTTTGAGTCTATGCTTGAATACTCATCCGTTCACATATCATGCGTGAATGCCAGATATGAACTGCGCCTAAACACTTTTTTGTCCTTTAGTCCCTGTGAATTCCAGGCAGAGAATAGCACTTTAAGACTGTGAAGTTTCTGTGATGGTAGTGTTACAGAGTGACATTGCCGACTTCACATTCAACCTTCCATTCTTTCATGGTTTACTACATGTTGGTTAAACTGGGCAAGGTTTAGGAGCGTTGCTGCCGGGAATCGAAACTGGAATAAGTGAGCGATTCACAGGCACTGAAATACTGACTCCCTACCTCAGCATTCTACACTGGGTTGTAAGGTTTGTCTTCTTGAGATTCTATATCATTCAAGGGAACAGTAGAAGTCAAATATCACTAAACAACTCCATTACAGATAAGATTTTATTTTGATAAATCATACAGTGTTATACAGTCATATTAACTGATGACCACGTTTTGAGCAAAAACTATTGCCACTCATAATCATATCAAGTCACTCACACAACGTTTTAATTCATTCATATACATGAGTGAAATTGATGATTAGACATTTGAATAAACAATATAGGATAATATATATTCATAAATAATAATATGAGTGTTATCAATCCCGTGCAATCAGATGGAAAATAAGACGAGTGTTTTACAGTCAAAATAAGTAACTTGTTAGAATGTTATGATGTAGGTGAATTGAAACAGAAATTTAAGATCATTAATAACCCTCCTCTGATTTGATTTGTGGTAATAATATCTCCCATATGTCTGGTAACTGCATTGAGCCACTACTGATGCACTTGTTGTGTGTAGATCCGATGAATCTGGATTCAGTGATGAACGTCTTCCTATCTCTACTTACCTATGTTACGTTATAGAATTTTAACCCACCCTATTGTGTTATTGTGTATTAATGCATGCAGTGCACTTGTTGGGTTTTTTCTAAATTGCTTATGTTCTCGGGGTCAACCATTCTTACCTTAGTTAAATTCTTATGTTTCGACAATCTAACTACTCCCGATCTACTGATTTGACCTATGTAGTTGACTTAACTGAAAATCATTACAAGGTATTTTGTATATTATATTATTTTGTTTAATTGGATCCACCGGGTATTTTACCCCACAGAGCTTGTCCCTGCCTGAGTGAGTTTGTGGGTTTGAATGCCACCCTAATTCCTGCTTTATTGAGAATCCTATGCAGGGTTTTAGATGTCCCTTCCCTATATGGTAAAACTGTAGATGGCTTTTATTCTTTCTTATGTATGTTATCATAATTAGTTTCACCATTATTTTTTATTTTGTTTTTGATCTTTTTTGATGTTCCTGATAAATTTCATAGGATAGTTAGTTATTTAACACCAACCAGCTATTTCTCTATTTGTTTCATTTCATCATTTAGGTTTTTTTCGTAGTACTACTTGATGTTATTGCTCGGTTTGTTAGACATTTAACTAAGCTTGCCTTTACAGATAACGGATGAGGTGAATTAAAGTCTAAATATTTTTTAGAATGCGTTGGCTATTTATAAACGCTAGTGTACATTCTTCCTTTTTCTATCCGTTTAATTTCACGATCTAACATAGCTAATTCTCTTTGTTCATTTTCCGATTCAAATGTGAATTTTATTCCCTTCGCTAGTGAGTTTGTATGTGTAAAGAAGCTAGACAGAGATATGTTCTGTTTTTAGCAATGTGAAAGTGTCATCCACATATACTCATATCAGGAAGCAAATTTTTCGTAATATTTTTCTACTACGTGACAATATTTACATATCCTCCCCCTTAAACTGAACAAGTGACTGTCATTACATAACTTATTACCGCTTACCTTCAAAATGAATTTCTTAAGAGCCTTATTTATGATTGTCACAAATGGGATTTAGAATGTAGACAGATAATCAGTGATGACGTCAATTTGAAGTAATACTGTATTGCAAAATAAAATATATCGGATCCATAAACTCTTTAGACTCAGATCGAAGGCCTACTTTTAGTGTGATCGCCTGAATGCCTGTGTGTAACAAGTTCATTTCTTCAGACTAACGAAATAACTGTCAAGTGGGGTTTAAATTTCCAGGGGTCTATAGCTGATCTCATATCTTGACAGAATGAAATTATCTCAAGTGGAAAAGCTGAATACCTTAAAAACTGAGTATCTTTGAATTGAAACTATAAAAGTCGCATGACACTGGTACCTATCAAATGAGAATGTGAGACAAAACCTTGTTGGACTTCATTAGTTTTTCTGTTCATCATGAAACTTGCTACCATTTGATAATTTGATGATATTAGATAGTTAGATGCAACCGGCAGGAAGCCCCACCTGGCCTAGGTTTCTTACTATTTGGCACTCACAAGTCAGCAGGACATATCTGCAACCATGAAGGAACCCATGTCCCTTCTGAGATTCAAACTCGCGTCACCAAGTGCTGCAGTCGAAGATGTTACCACTGACCTATTTGGGCTCAGGATAGACCTCCTATAGGACTGTAGTGAGTATTTTCATTGGAAACTAGTAACTAGTGTGACGTGTCTGGTCCTTTCTTTGGTGCAGATTAAATTCTATCGGAAGGGACATGAGTTTCTTCAACTTTTGGTGATACGCCTTGCCGACACGTGCCAACTAGCCCGAAACCTAGGTGGAAGGCTTCCTGTGGCCGATTGCTTCCAACTGTCTAATATCATCAAATCAACGTGCACCCTGATGGTGATCTACCTAGCATGGTGGCCGCATTGCAAACCTGACTGATAGAATTCAGTCTGTACCACAAAAAGAACTAGACACATCACACTAGTTACTAGTGTTCAATCAAAATAAGATAATTACTGCACTTCGCATTCTGCTTTGATTATTTATACAAAGACTTAAAGTTTTGGTAGCAAATATTAATAATACATTCTCTTCTTTCGTTGTGCTATCAAAAGCATAACCGCATTTGATTGCATGTCCTCATCATTCCTACATTCGCAACAACCTGACTATATTCAGAAACAGTCTGTGGACAAAGTTTTATAAAAATCGTGTTTCGCGTTGTTATCCAACGGTATCGTCGCTCAGCATCAACAACAAAATTCGGTCGGATTTTCAATACAAACACGTCAAGTCAGTCAGTTCTTCTATACGGATCAGAAACTTGGCGCCTGGCGGGTCACAAAGAATATTCCCAACAGCCTGTTGCAGGCTTTTATCAACCAACAACTGTCTTCGCTGGATCTGTACTGAAGATCAAATGGCCGGGCCGGGCCGGAAAGAATCACCAACAAGAAACTATGGGAACAAACAAACAAAACAAGAACCAATCGCCAGCCAACAAATATACAGGAGGAAGTGGAGATGGATGGATTGGGCACTCGCTGAGGAGGCCGCTGGGCGACATCGTGCCCGCGTCAGGCCATTGCTCGAGTGGAACCAGGCTGAAAGGGAAGCTGCTAGTGAGGCGTCAGTGCAAGGGTGAGTGACATGGAGGAGATCGTGTGAAGAGGAGTTGAAACAGTATGGACATGGATGTAAAATGGATGCAGGTGACAAGTACAGTAGAAGACAGAAGCGATTGGAGACGTGCAGTTGAAGCCCTATGTTCCACTAGGAACCCAAGGGAACAATAATTAATAATAATCCAACGGTAAACTTCTAAATGTACTGCAGATTCTAGATCTCGTAGAAGTGATCCGGAGAACAGAAACGGTTTTTGAAGTAGAGTTTCTGTTCCCATGTTGCATCCACTCACTACCTGTCTGAGATGACACAGACACAGTGGAAGTGTCGTAATGCACAGAAACTACCTTTCGATAATTGAAGATACTGAGTGACTGTTATGTATATATAAGATGGATAAAAGGTTTTAATTTAATAGTTACTAATCAGTTACTTACTATATGCATCGGCTGAATGAAGTAGCAGAAGAAAAACGAGATTTGTGATCTGAAAGATTGCAAAATCAAATTAAACAGTAATTATATAAGAAGCATGGGTGTTTTTGTAAATTATTAAAAATTTTGTGTGTTAGGTTTCATGTTTCTAAAGTTAATTGTACTACCCGTCTTGCTGCTTATCAATTACTGCAGTTGTTCTTATTGCGTTAGTTTAACAAAAAAGGCTAAAAATATCTCATTTTGTCACGAGAACGGCAGCTGAAAAATGCAGTACGCACCAGAAAAAAACCCAAAGATAAATGACTCCAGGAAGTCGGTTTGACATTTCTGACATAAGCGATTTGAACAGTTCAAACAAGTACGTGTGGGATCAGAATATTCATTATGCGTTGCATAAATACATTACACATCACAGATAAATCGCCTACTCTTACTGATTGTAGAACTTTTTCCTTTACATTTCTAAATTTTATATTTAATTATTTGAGTCATATTTCATGTCACATTAGATCGTAGGAAGTGTTAAACAGATATTTCCAGTGAAGAAAGGTTTTCTTTTCTACAGAGTCACTAACTAGGCTGTATGTTCGTGTATTTAAACCAAGTGAGTAAGAAATTTCCGAAACTATAACGAATAACAGGATTACAATAGGGGATCAGAATGTAATAATTACAGGAGTTTCGGATAAAATAACATAGTACTAGACGGTTGAGATACGAAGCCTTAGACCTAGGTTTCGTGCTAGTTGGAACTCGTCAGCAGAGAGTATCTGCAATTTTAAAGGACCGCATGTCCATACTGAGATTCGAACCCGCATTACCCAGTACTGCACTCACGGTCGTTACCAGTGGGCTATTCGATCTCACAGTTGACCTCGAGAAGGATCGTATTGGGTATTTTGACTGGACACTAGTCAGCAACTAATATAATGTGTCTAGTCCTATCTTTGTTGCAGACTGAATTCTATCAGAAGGGACATGAGTTGGTGATAGACCTTGGTAACGAGTGACAACTAGCACGAAACCTAGGTTCAAGGCTTCCTTCCGATTGTCTCCTGCCATCAATACTAACAATTTACAAGGGACCGTGATGTTGAGACGCCTAGTGGAATGGTGGTCACATTGCAAACGTGACTGGTAGAATTCAGTCTGCGGTAAACAAAAGGACTAGACACATTACACTAGTTATTGGCCAACGTCCGATCAAAAATATAGTAGGATAGTAAATATTGGGAAAATTGACTGTTTATGACAGCAATGGTAAAGACAAACAATAGACGTTTTACTTTTGAATAAATAGCATGGGAATGGGACTGTGGATCGCTATTGCCTCAGCAATGCCCTGATGCTTTCATCTTGTTCCCAAAGGATGTCTGATCGGATCTTGTTTATGACTTTGAATCGATTTCCAAGAGGAGTCAAATGTTCTAAGTTCGTCAGATTTTCTGGTAGCAAACTATATATACAAGTGAGTTCTCCCTTTGCTATCTGAGTTTGATAGTGTTGCAAAGTGCGTGGTATGGTCAATGTACTCAGCTCCACTAGATCAAAAGAAGTGCTGTGTGCATGCCGAAGTGGCCTAATGAGGCATCTTGTCTTTCTCATTGCTGGCTGAATAGTTGCAAGAAAATGTCATTTGTCAGGTGGCAGCGAAAAGCATTTTGCTGGGAGACTTTGAGGGCTCTTTTTCGAGAATTTCTGCTTCAGTATCACTTTTAAATTTCAGAATAATCGGAGGAGGAATCTTTATGGGGGCGAACTGAACCTGTTCTGAGGTTTTTCTCGGTTTTGGACTCTTGTCTGCCAATCTAGGTGAAAAACCATTTTCCATCCAAATTCCTCATAGATTTTGCAGTTCTTCGTAAATAAATTCCGTGGTAAATATTTTCCGGATCGTAGTGACAAGACAATATATTAGATTTCTCTTGTGTATGTTCTGTTAACTTCAGTGTACGGCTTGTGAAAATTAGACTGAACTCAAAGTGAAGCACTTCACCAACAGATGCTTTCTGTTTGCCTTGCTGGTGATTATGTCTGCGTGCAGGAAATACTTATAATCCACTTTAGTCTAGTTTTTATCGTAGTGACTAAGGTGTGATGTGGTGGATGACTTCAGTCCATCTAATTATCTGTTAGCCTCTTTGACGGAAAATCAAGAACTTGGATATCTTGTACACAAGACTGCTTTTAATAAACGAATCACCGCCTTTTGGATATCAAGCTTATAACCGATGGAAATACACGGTCAGGTAAGCAGGTCAACTTTTAACTCACCAAGGCATTTGAAGGCGTTTCGGAAGTAAGTTAAGACTGCCTACTATCACTTATAATATTTCTAATTGCGATGGACTTGATCATGTGGTGGCCTGTGGAGGGAAACACAGCGGTGATACGTCAGACCGATGAATAAACCCTAGAAGGTCTAGACTTGGCAGATGATTTATGTCTAATGTCACACAAACTCGAAGGAAGACAACAAACTCACATTAGACAAGACTTCGGATGAGCACAAGAAAGACGAAGGTGGTAAAGATAACCAATCCACAACAACAAAAAGCACCAATTATTTTCAGCAGGATAAATTTCGCTTATCTAGGTTGTACCGTTTCAACTAAAGACAAAACTAATATCGATGTCGAAACAACAATCAGAAAACCAAGACATACTTTTATCACTGTGAAATCAATTTGAAAATCTTCTACACTCAACATTAACAACAAAATTTAAAGTTTCATCAAAGACATTAAGTCAGTCAATTTTTCTATATGGGTGAGAGACTCGGTGCTTCCTGGAAAGCATTTCGAACAGGCCACTAGAAATTTTCATTGACAGATGCGTTTATTAGCTCCATACTGAAGATCCCCTAGGTGGCCAGAAAGAAAGAATTAGTAACTAGAAACTTTGGGAACAAATCAACTAACCAAGACTGCTCAAAAAATATTTCGAAGAAAATGTAGATGGAATGAATACACCCTGAAGAGACCGTCTAGCGATGTAGCTCTCCAGACCTTCGCTCGAGTGAAACCTGAATGTAAAACGATGAGTTGTGAGTCCAAGAGTAAAATGGAGAAGCTATTGCAAGTGGGAGACGAGAGACAATAGGGAACTGTAGGCCTGGGTGAAGAGGACTGCTGGAAATATGACAGAGTAGAGATATCCAACGGGAATAATAATTGGTTCTAGGATTTCATCATGAATTGACATTGGTTAGAGAACCATTGGAAAACCAGCTGGGAGTACTGGACAGCTGTTTCATCCTAGTCTGGAGCTCTTCAGCAGTATGCACCCACGCAGCAGGGTTTGAACCCAGGACCTTCTGGTTACAAGGCTAGCGAGCTCGTATATCATTAAGCCACTGGGAATAATAATGATAATGATCAAGTAAATTAGCATGAATCATAAGCTAATGTAAGATTTTTTTATTGGTTCTTTGAAAACGTGATAAAATAGATAGATTAACATAGAAACAGACTACCCCCTTGTATACTTATTTACTGTTATTTTATTACAAATGTCGATGCGCTGTTAGTAGAATCACTATCACTTTCGTATTGAGGTCAAATGTCTGCGGGATTTGCTTAAAAGGCTAAAGTGACTTGGTGAATGAATGACTAAGTCGCTTAGTGAAGGAACATGGACAAATATCGACTTGTATTAGGACTATAAAATGTGCTATGTATGTTTTCTAGACATTTTCGCATTGTGTATAGGTCAGGTGAGAAAAAAGCTAACAGAATTCATTTATAGTCTAAGGGTTATATGAAAAGATAACTATATGCATCGATAAAAATGAATATACATCGTAGGTTTTGTTCAAGTTACTTTTTTAAGTGTCGTTCTGGAGAATAGAATTTCTTGATGGTTTAACCGAAGGAATTCTAGGTTACATAGCAAAATTACTAAAATTTATTATTGGCGGCAGTTCAAACTTGAAGACTTGCATGTGAAAAGCAACAAACTGGCAGAAGTGACAGGCAGAGAAGACAGGACTCTAGGTGAATATAACGAAGACGGAGGTGATGAAGATAACGGGCGAACAGCAATAGCAACAACAACCAGCACCATTCACCGTCATCAGAAGTGATTTGATAGGGGTTACCTCCTTCGTTAATCTAGGAAGCATCGTTTCAACTACAGACACTCCAAACGGATGAATATGTCAAAACCAATCAGTCAGAATCGGAAAGGCAAGATATGCCTTCATCAACCTGAAACTAGTTAGGAAATCTTTTGCACTCAGCCAGTATAAATAACAAACTTCGGATATCCAACACCAGTGTTATGTCGGCCAGTTCTTCTATGTGGTTCAGAAACTCGCACTGCGTGTCAGTCACGAAAAGGATCTTCAACAGTTTGCAGACTTTTATCAACAGCTGCCTTCTCTGGTTCCATACTGAAGGTCAAATGGCCGGCCGGCTGGTCAGAAAACATTGGCGTCAAGAAATTGTGGCGAGTGAGGAGGGGGCATGCAGGAGATTATGCGCAGAGAAGATGAGAGATTATGAGCAATCGTGGATGCAGGTGAAGAAGACAGCGGAGAATAGAACAAATTGGAGACGTGTTGTGGAAGCCCCATATTCCACTCGTAACCCAAAGGAATAGTAATGAAGTCATTATTAGCAGTCTGTTATACAGTTAACTTTCCGAGTTAACGCAACATTATCAAACCTATGATGCATCTCCTAACCATCAGCAAAGTGATTCAGGAAACAATCTATTCAGAATCCTTCAGCAGTGTTAAGAAAACGAGAAACTGAGGACACAGATATTTATGTTTCATGGTGACCGTGTAACTATATGAAAAATTCATATCCCTCGGAACTTCACGCCGTTTACGCCGGGTGGCTACCACTGGAAAGGACATTTTCACAAAGAAGAAACCAGTGCTCATCGTTCAATGTTTGTTAAATAGTTGCGAAGCCTGTATCGGTACTTCATAAGGTCACCATACAATATCACACCAAATTAGGCTAGTATGTTAAATTCGACGAGGGGTCTATCAACAGAAAGCCCTGAAAATACGTTTTATGCCTGTTGACAGTCAGTATATGTGGAAAACCAGTGATCTAGAGGCGATTTATGTACACCACATAAGATAAGATTGTGTCACTCATTATGGAAGTTGGAAAATATATTGCCAGACTATTAACTGTTAGGTGTAATCTGGAAATTGTTGATAAAATGTAACGATACACCTCTATTGGATGAGAAATTATTCATTGGTTTTCAGGAGAACCAAACATACTCATCTCACACTATTGCAAGACCACAACTGCATAAAATCTCGGTTGCCCCCTCTCCAAATGTGTGGTTCTCCAAAAAACCAATGTATATTATTGTGCTCAGTGATTGTATTACTGTGTAGATAAAGGAGTTCACTGGAGAAATGGATTTAACGAAAACCATTCTGTGCGTGGGTGGCACAGCAGTTTGGACTCTCACCGAACATGCACATAGTCCAGGGTTCGATCCCCTGCTGACGCACACCTGATATCAATTGTCGGCCTGCAAACTGGACTACTGATATCATATGCTGAAAATTCCATACCTATAGCGAAAATACGGTGTGAAATCAAGCTATAATAAAAAGAATTATGAAGATTGAATACTTACCAGCGTTACTTGAATAACTTTCATTTTGTATGGGATTAATTCAAAATATTTCTGTTGAGTAGGGAAAACGTTGGAAATCTAATTCTGAAATTAGAACAATTAAAAAATTCATTAATTCTGTGGAATAACTATTGATATAAATGAAGGCTTTCATGATGGGTGATCAGTTTTTGTGGTAAGAAAAAGTGAATTTTAGTCGGATTTTATGAAACGTTTAGAGAATACTTCATATAATGATAAGAATGTAACAGGAAAACAGATCAGCTGCATACTTGCCTACTGAGTAAATTGTCATACACAGTTTGAATTACTTGTTAAAAGATAAATATTGTTTCCAAGTATTGGTTTTGCAGGGATTTTGTTTGATTGGGGAGAGGATTCCATCATGAGCTGACATCAGCTAGAGAACCATTGGAAAACCTGAAAGTACTGGACAGCTGTTTTGTCCCAGTTTGGGACTCTTCGCTGAGGTGTTTTCCTTATATTCATATGACAGTGACATACATGACTGTTGATGCATTACTAAACTAGCTGTCTGTCTTGAGTGGGAAAGGCAAGGGATGATATCTAGTCACTTATGGGTCGAAACATACATACATAACTACAACCCAAAAGTTTCATCACTATCTGATAAAGTTACACAGTGTTACACAGTCCTAATTACTGATGACGTTTTGAGCACAATCTATTGCTCACGGTCTTACATGAAGACAGCAGCAACATCAGGGAGTTTCCTATGACCCTAGCGCTGAAGTAATGACTTGATTTTGACCTAACCATCTAAATTTCCTGAAAGGTTGCTGAGGTAACAATCTGCAGGACTCTAGTATAATGCAATATGATTATGAGGCATAAATTGTGCTCGAAACATCATCAGTAAATAGTCCTGTATAACAATGTGTCACTTCATTAATATAAACTTAATCTTTGTTGGAATTATACTTCGCTATAGTGTCCAGTTTCTGTTCTTATAATTGCAAGCCTATATGGTTTTGCATTAGAATTTGTGTAATAGTCAGAATACTAGAAAGGATATCTCTACCTATGAGCACTAGACAGTGAGTAACTAATGTCTTTCATCTAGTCCTTTGTTTGGTACGAAATGGATTTTATCGGTCAAGTTTGCAATGTAACCCTTAGTGCTATTTGGCTAGACTTCACAATGCACTCTGAACTGTTGTTATTATACAATTGGAGGCGATCTTCAGGAAGCCTAGACTGAATTAAGTTCCATGCTTGATAGCACTCGTCACCGAAGTGTTTCAGTAACCTTGAAAGAACTCATATGCTTTATGAGATCTGAACCCAGGTCATCCAATGCTTCTGCACTCAGAGACGTCACGAGTCAGCTATTTGAGCGTCGACACTCACCAAATCTAAGTCAAAGTCTTTCTGTAGGTCACCTCCGAAAATCTAAAGGTACACATATATCGTCTCTTGGTAATTGTCATCAAATAGGTTGGGGATTTTTAAAACGGTGCACAATCATGCTAATCACAATCTCACATCAAGATTTGCATAAATGACGATACATACTTTTATTTTGCTAAATTTCCAACGCTTTTATGCAGCCTAAACAAGTAAGTAAGAACTATAAGAGTAGCGTGTGAATGTGTATTTTCTCCTTATTTAATTTTGGAGTTAGGGAAATAACAGAAGAAAAACTTAAGGCAAACTATAAACTTTTTTTATTATAGCTTGATTTCACACCGTATTTTTGTACAAATATGAAAGTAAACCTTTTCATTATAGTTAATCAGTTTGACTAGAGGCTTGAAGTTTGTTTAGCAGCGGTGTTTATTTATACAGGACGGGGTTGCTAGTCTCATACTCAACCTTCCTCTTTCACCAGTCTTATTACTGGCTTAGCAAGGTAAAGGAGTGTGTCAGCCATGGATCGAATCCCGGACCACATGCGTGGTTGGCGAGCCTCCTACTGCAGTGCCACCAAAACAAATGAAGTCAATACATGACCAAAATTAAAACCAATCAAATCCCTTCATATATCTGGGATCAGACATATGACTTATTAATTGTGATTATGAATCAGAGCATTGTAAATCAGTGCGCTAATTTCTTTGTGGTTTACTCATTAAACTATCAACGTATGAACGGTTGACTAATATTCACTTCCTGTAGGCTAACATAGTAACACCTCATGGCTTTTGGCATTTTAAAGTGTCTCAAACTCTTTAGGCGTACTTTTATGCAATCAAGCTTACATAAATTTGGTGAAAATAGTTCCCTTTCATATCAGTTAATGTACAAAGAGGGGGGAACAGCAAATAGTTTAAATTAATTTTCTAAAAGTGGTTTCTTTTTATGCAAATTCTAATTTTTATCCAAAAGAATATCAGTGAATTCTTATTGTTTTCGTCTACAGCGTCATTTCAGATAGATTGATAAAAACATTGAGCAGACTTTTATGCGCGAAAACTTTATTGTCAGTGAGAATTGTTAGCAAAACATGCATGTAACATTCTGAAAGACGATACAGTGCAACGGATTCGAGTATTTAGCCATTATTAAATATATCTACTGAAACAATTTTAACATACTTGCACTGAGTTCATTTTCTGTTGTTCAAATGTAACTGCTCCCGCAGATACATTTTAATTTGTAGATGAAATAGCTACTGACAATCCACCCAGCACTGTTTTAGCGGATATATTCGTGTCCAACCATGAAAGAACAAAGCTGAAGCATGAAATTGACTAAGCAACTTCTTATTGTCGATATGTTGATGATACATTTGTAGTGTGCAACAATGAAAGTCGTGCTTCCCACTTACTCATATTATTCAATGACGTACACACAAATATTGAATATACTATTTAGAACATGGAAAAGATGGAAAGTTCCACTTCCTCAACACTGCCATGCAATGCCTAAGAGACGGTAGTCTCCAGAGGTCAGTTTACCGAAAGCCCACTTGGAAAGGACAATACCTACATTTTAATAGTTTTTGCCCAAATAGCTTTAAACGTGGACTAGTCAAGACTCTATACTATAGAGCGAGTAGAATATGCTTTATAGAGAAATCAGAGGAAGAACTTATGTCTCTCGAAGAGATGTTGAAAAGCAATGGTTACCATCAAAGATTCATCAACAAGTACGGAAGATCTCAAGTCTCAAATATCAAAAAATCACATTGGAGAAAATTTCAGTCTACATTCAACTTGATTATAAAGGTGCAAATATTGTGGCAATGGTCAACAGAAGAGTGAGTGAGTTACTAGCCAGAGCCTATCCTGCAGCTAAGCTTGTTTCCATCTGTCGAACAACTTGCTCTTTGGTGTAATCAAAAATTGATATATATATATTTCTCATGTTAACTCCAACCGTATGTACAAATTTAGATGTATTTGTGGGAGCAGTTACATCGGGAGAACAGAAAGAATCGCATATTTACGATTTTCTGAACATGCGCCATAAAGCTTATGTCTAAAGGGAACAAATGGTTCCAACAGTGCCATCGCCAAGCATCTCCTTGACACGGATCATGAGATGGACGTCGCAAGATCGTTCAAAATTATCAAGGGCAAAGAGTTCAATTCTCCTCAAGTTCGCTGAAGCCATCTTCATCAAGCGTCTGAAACCTGATTTATGGGTTCAGAAAGAAGCAGTTATCAGTCTTACTTTAACCTGGTAACTGGATATTTTCACCCCTCCTTCATCGGATTCCGTAATGTCGAAAGTTTCCATTGTGTATGATCATTACTGTTAGGAACAGTGTTTAATATTATATATATATATAATTATTGTATGTATATACTGACTGATTTTTGTTTAAAAATTAACTCTGTGCAAGTATGTTAAAATTGTTTCTGTAGATATATTTAATATTGACTTTGGCCTGTAAGTAACTGATGAGAAGCCAACGAAATAAACAGTGATGGTACCATTTTATTCAATGGAAACTGTTGTTCTTGCTTTGTTCAAATTCCTTTAGAGGGCAAATGTATGATACAAAAGATTTCGCGTAGAAATTTATTCATTTTGAATTAGTAGTTCGTATTCATCAACTCCTCACGATTATATTGTCTTCTATATCAAAATCATGCCAATCGTGTGGTTATTCCAATCCATACGAATGACCAGTTTTAGATAAACGTCAAGCGGAGTGAAAATAAGAGATTAAAAGTTATCAAAACAACGAACTAGTAGACGTTAGCAACAAGGTATCTACGTCTTGAAGGAGGGAGAGGAGAAAATAATAATGATGGAGTTGAAGTTTAGTCAATTCCCTGGGGTTAGCAACAGATTCGTATGATAATGATGACTAAGACGAACAGAATGACTAAGCAGAATCACATAGAATAACCAAGATGCAAATAAGTTAACTGAACTATTCAGAATTGTAATAATAAAAAGATAACAGAGTTTAAACATAGTTACAAGGGGGGTGGGGAAAGTTGTCTGTAAAACTTAATACATGTTATGCAGTCAACTAAAGCAAAGATAGCCGCTGTGCTAATTTCTCTTGAACGCATACGCTTAGCTTGTTTGGATGTATTCCAGTTGCTTTTGCTGTATGTAAACGTCGTACTCGCATGGAGCTAGTAACGATGAGTTAACGGTCAGGCAAGTCCATAGTCGAATTACTAAACACGTCGCATCTTAGTTTGGCAAAGGTTCAGATAAAGCAATGCAATAAAGCTCAACATTAGCTAATCGTGTTGATACTGGACATTAGATTCACTCTAGTAAATCATCCACAGCTATTTCATCGTAATTCACTCAACCTTTTGCATGCACTACAGGTGTAACTTCTATGTAATAACCTGTTGTTAACCCCAACGAATTAGCCAAACTTGAACTCCGTCGTTATTTTCTCCCCTCCTTCATTCGAGACTTAGATATCTTTTTGCTAACGTCTACTAGTTAGTTGCTTTTACGACTTTTAATATCTTATTTTCACTCCGCATCGCATTTATCTAAAACTGGTCATTATTATGGAGTGGAATATGCACATGACTTGTATGATTTTGAAGTAGAAGACAATATATGGGTGAGGGGTCGATAATGAGGAACTGCTAACTGAAGAGTAATATATTTCTTCGTTCATTTTATTGTCTTTTTCTAAATATTTGATTTCAGTGCAAACTTTGATCCCTTCCATTGTGTTCCCAAGGTAACACAGGGCCCTCTTATATTTAAAGTCTGAGTAATTGGTGTTGCAAGCCTGACGGCCAACTTTCCCTCATCTTCGAACTTAAAACCAGCTTGGTGAGGATTAGAAGTGTGTGCGTGACTGGGAACCAAACCGGGACCACGCTCATGATTTATCAGCACTTTGCTAGGGAATAAGCGGTAACAGCTCACACACATACACACACTGGATTAGTATTTTTCCAATTCTATTTTTAAAACAAACAATTAACTGATTTTACCGATTCAGTAACCAGGTTTTCTTGCCCTATTCATGTAGGTAGTTACCTGGGGTTCTAGTGAGAAGTCGTGACCAGTAGGGTAGAGCAGATCAGATGTGAGAACAAATACCCACCGAAGACATTGGCTTGGGGTCGCGCTTTGTCGTGAATTGGCAGAAGTTAGAATTCATCGGCTGGCCATTGGATCGGGTCCCAGTGGCTTAATGGTATACGAGCTGGTGTGGTGGGTGCGTACTGCTAGCTAGCCTTGTAATCAGAAAATCCTGGGTTCAAACTGTGGCGGTGGGTGCGTGCCGATGAAGAGTTCCAAACTAGGATGAAACAGCTGTCCAGTACTCACAGCTTGTTTTCCAGTGGTTCTCTAACTGATATCAGCTCATGATGAAATCATCCATCGAATTAAACAAAATCCCTACAAAACTAACACTTGAAAACCATTTAATCATTGATTCACTTTTACATATAGTTTCTTTTTCCTTATTTTCATATTTATTAGAATATAACGATAGTAGATGGGATTTGACCTTACAAATCAGTGTGTATCAAAAATGATTATATTGAAATAAAAGCGTATAAATTCCATTTGGCAGTCAGTAGTATTTCTGTTCCACTGGGAAAGGCATTTGGCCCAGTGACTTTAATGTATAAGTGAGAGAAACCTTATTCACATTGTTGTTGAATCAAAGCAAAAAATCAAAATAAATAAATAAATTAACTGAATCATTCAGTCAACAGGTGAGTGAATTGGCAGAGAAACGATAAATGTCAAATAATATTGTTAATTTGTACTACTTTATTACAATTTAAGTAGTCATGGATTGTAGTTTTTATATTTTATGGAGGATTTAATCATGAGCTGACATCAGTTAGAGAACCACTGGAAAACCTGGGAGTACTGGACAGCTGTTTCGTCCTAGTTTGGGACTCCTCATCAGTACGCACCCACCGGGGTTCGAACCCAGGACCTTCTGGTTACAAGGCGAGCTCGTAGACCATTGAGCCACTGGGACCCGATCCAATGGTTCTTGAATTCTAACTTCTGCCAGTTCACGACATAGCGCGACCACTTCGCAATGTCTTCTTCGATGAGTTACTGCCTCATCTTCGACCTGCTGTACCCTACTGGTCTTTATATTTTACAAGTATTGTCAGGATTCTTTTAACTCACTACTGAATGATGCTTTCTGGTGGAAAGGTTATTATTAAAAGAGAATTTCACAGCATGAAACTTAAAATAAGACCAAGTGTTGTTTTTAAGGTTCAATCATAACTTATTTTTTATAATGGTTTTGTCCGACCTTAGGACTTTCCGACACGCAATACCTGTGTGTATATGATTATCTTAAGAAATCAAGTCGTCGGTCATCTGCTGAACAGTAATTCAAGAGCCTATGGTTTCCAAGAAAAAATTGCGAACCTGTGGGTAGTAGATTCTTGACCACCAAATTAGGAGGTCCCGTTTCAGCTCCCTACCAATGTGCTCCTAGACCTCGCCTAGCTAGCAGTAAGCCCGGAGAAAAAATGACAAAATAGATGAGGCCAACAACCTCACCACGTAAAAGTAACCACACTGCTAGTTAAACTTCAAAGTCTGAAGGTTAGGGACGCAGGAAATTGGAAAATACAAGAATTATACTAAATTTAGTAAACAGACTGAGAATTGAAGTCCAGGCAGGTAAATTAAAGAATGGCGAAAATCCTTCTAACAACTTTTCTATTATTTCGTTTCATTTGAATTATGCAGCTATGAGTACTTTAAGTCATTGTCAACTTTTTTATTCTATTTTAGAATGCAGTCATCCCAACTGTTTTACTAACTCTTATTCTTCTAAATCACAGATGCCCTATAAGGTGAAATATGCTCAGAACAGAAACACTTGCAGTGGGTTATTTTCACGGAAGCTTTGTAAAATATTACTAATACATAACCTTGAGTTCCGAGTGAAGTATGAGGCTTTAAGCTTGAGATTTGTAGTTTCGGAAGAGGTGGCGATTTCTATTTTCTACAGGGGGAGGGTATTCGCCCTACACCTAGCCTTTCTCCGCTTTTATCAAGCTTACTACTGGTTAAGCGAGATCCAAGAGTACATCGGTCGAGAATCAAACGTGGAACGCATGAGTAGCTCATGAGCATTCTAGTACCAAACAGTCGATACATACATTTTCTTAATGATGAGGAATATATCTGTGGTTGATAAAATCTAGAAAAGTGAGTTCTAAAGCTTCTGGGTTGTGAAGGTATTCAGTAATACCCCTTTTTGTGTGTTTGCTTTGCTTTACACTCAGCAGACATTAGGTCCAATGAAATGTTATCATCATATCTGTAGGGGGATATGTATAACATTTTAATAAGGGAATTTGTTCTTACGTATTTTACAGGTGTCTAGAAGATTGCATCTATTTTATTATTAACAACATGGAGGATATAGTGAAATTTTTCAGTCTTAAGTTCAAACATTCACACAGACACGCACTTGGGAATCAGAAGAACTCAGTTGACGAATCCAGTGTCAGTCCTTATTTCAGTGTGAATTCATCAGGTAAAACAAATTTGTTATCTTCTTCATTGGGTCTATAGAAGTCTTGGATAATAAGAGGGTTGGTGATTAACGTCGGTCTTCCTGAACAATTAGTCGATCAGATAGGACCGGCAATTATCTAGGCGCCAATACTTTATTCGTTTTACAGTTTTTAGCTTCTTGATTATGTCACTGGCATGACTGATTGTATTCACTTTGAAGTTGGTTGGAGTTTTGCATACCGAAAAGGTGTCAAATAGTTCTTTCTTGATTTCAATTTTAAATATTTACTTCTTAGGGATTTTTAATAATACCCAGACGTTTTTGCAATATTAACGTGGATGTGTTGAAGAACTAAGGTAAACGATGAGGGGAAACAGATCGAAGAAGCGTCGGTGTTAAATAACTGACTATCCTACAACATTCATCAAGAATATCAAAGAAGGTCAAAGGAAA